TTTTCTTACCGTTTCTGTTTTATCGCTAGCTATAATACGGCGATTGGGCCAAAAATAATTTGCTATCTCTGTTGTCAAAAAATATAAATATTTTTCAATTTTTGGCCATTTCTTGTATTATATAAATTTAATCGAAATAAACCTTACCTGTTTTATCATAAAATATAAGGTATTTAGATAAATCTATTAGCACTGAAAATTATCCATCAGTTGTCTCCGAAAAAAAAAGGTTGACGCTCACTAGCAGACTTCATTAATATTGCACAATAGGGCCGGTTAATAAGTTTTTTGTTGTATAGCAAGACAATCACTCTCAAGTTGGTCGAGGTCGATGCGCTAAAAATTTTCCAATTCTTCGCATTTAGTAGAGGAATTGGACGGTAACTGATTGGGGTGATTGGGAAAATTATCGAAAAACGAACGACTACCGCCTGTTGGCGAGCAATGTAACCACCCCTGCTTGTTGCTATTAGAAGAGTTAGTCCAAATGCAAATTAATTTTGTCTCGCTGAAATATATATTTCAAGATACTTAAAGAGCGTTTTTCGTCGAGGCTTTACCACCACTATTTTGCTTATTTTCTTTGCTTAAAGACTCAAGAGCATTAAAAATGAAGAATGCAAGTCTAGAATTAAACTCTTTCTTCACTCGCCATGAAAACATTCTACTTTTCATTTGATGTACAGCGATCATCGGAAACTGAAATACATTGCATAGATCATGAAATCCGCTCAGAACAAACCTCTTAAGTTTATTATAGTACTAACAACAGCTCTCTGGTTAGAACACTCTTAAACCTAGATCTGAAGGGTATAAGATTCAAAAAGAACAATTTACGGCTGAATTCGAAGGAAACCACGAAGCGGCCGATAACTGTTGTCCTACAACAAACTTCAGACATACACAACAAGCAAAGTGCAATGTACTTACTGCAACAATGTAGCGTCCAAGTTCGTTCCTGAGGGAAAATTTGGCCATTTTTGTATTCGAACTATACTGTTTTCCTCAAGGGAAGTACACTCCTTCGTTTAGTTAAAACTTTCATCTGTGTAAAACTGCTGCACAGCCTTTGACCTGAAATAATCAGCATAATCAACACTGTCACGCAGTAACGTAGTCACACAGTCGCGTAATCAGTTTACTAAAGGCGATGTTTCGAATGTTAGCCCCTCGTCAGATTCTCTCTGATACAACAGTCACACGGTCACACTTTGGAGGATTTTCAACCATGGTCAAAGTAAAACTGATAGATCGAGACAAAGCAAATAGGAATTCTGACAATTCTTCAAAACGAAGAGAACGGAGGATGACGTGTGATCATGATGTTCAGGAATATTTTAGTATTTTATTACAGTTTCTCCAAATCTAAATTACCAAATAAATAAATAAATAATTAATAAATAAATAAATAAATAAATAATGAATAGTAATAAAAATGATGATGGAGAGGCAGTATCCAAAAGCGTCCTAGCCTGACCATATTAGGGATGCTCCCCAGTAAGCTAACAAAATATATCTATAATATTAAGAAACACTTATTAGAGTATAAAATTTAATACAAAAAAATTAAATTGAATTAAATCTGAAATTCTAAGTATTCCAAAAAAATGAAGTGACTTTCTGTTTAAAGCTAGAAATACTAACAGAATCCTTTATATTATTAGGAAGACTATTCCATTCATTAATAATACGGATAAAAATTAAAAGCTATATTTAAAAATATTTGTTCTACTTTACATGCTGACCAGGTCAAGAGAATCATTCTTCCTTAAATTATAATCCACACTACGACCTTTACAGTACAACAACTTATCAGAAATATCCATATCATAGTGCCCTTTCATTAAATTGGATAAAAAAAAAAACATCCCTGATGTATCTTCTATGAAATAAACTTTGTAATTTTAATTTCTTTAACCTAATATAATATTCCTTATCAGATTAAAGAATAAACTTACTTGCCCTCCTCTGTATTGCCTCTATTTTATTAATATTACGTTGTGTATTAGGATTCCAGGTCTCACATGAATACTCGAACAAGGGTCTGACAAGACTACAGTATAATGTTCTCTTTTAAATCCCTACATGATGTTCTTTTCACCAAACTAAGAATCTTATTAGCCTTAGCACCTACAGAATCTACATGTGCGTTCCATGATAAATTAGGGCTGGTAAGAAGACCAAAATCCTTATGTTTATATACACTTTCCAAACTCTGACTGTTTATGCAATAGTCCCTAACTAAAGGACTCTTTTTCATAGTAATTCTCATGATCTTACATTTTTTTGTGTTTATTTTCATTTTAATATCCCAGCAATCTTATCCAAGTCACTTTGAAACTGAAGTCATGTCATCTGAACCTTTGCGACCAGTTGACAATAGATCGTGCGCCCCTTGAGGGTGGCACGGTCAGCCTGACTAGAGACCACTCTACTATCAGTGTAGGCTGGGCAACTTTGTGTGCGCTGCTAAAAACATTTTCAGTTAAACTATGACGTCTAAACACTTCACTGACTGTTGGGCAAGGAAATTTATTCTTCAAATCCTTGTCATTATTTCTCAGCTAACAGAGTTCATCATAACATCGTTAAGGCGATTTTTTTTAAAAAAATATGTTTGTTTTAATGTGGCCTCAGGGGCGCGCGATCTATTATATTGTCAACTGGTCGCAAAGGTTTCGGTTCAGTCAGCCATGCACCATGTTCCATAGAAATGCGTCATAAAGCCTCATTTGATTGCTTTTTTTAACAGCTAAATACGTAACTAGGAAGTCGGAATTAAAAAAAGGGGTCAAACCTCCTCTAATACAAAATTTCCTTGACTTTTCAACACATCGCACATATTCGCTTCGTATTTGTTTATTTGTTCACTCTTTTTTTAGGTGCTCATGGTTCCTATGCAAAATTATTCCCTTAAATCTCAAGTAGGCCATAGAAAATAGCAATATCTTTTGTTATCAATCAAGCAGTGGCCATGAATTGATCGAGCATATGAACCGCGCCAGACTACGATGACCTCATGATGTGTGTTTGCGTTTGATCACGCTCTGTTTCTAAACTTAAAGACTAAAGAGAAAATATTTGATATCACTTTAGACAAAGATTCTGTGATATGTCTCAAATACTGCAGAGATGAGCCTTACTTGTAAAAATCAGTCCCCGAAGTAATATTTACTGTGATACCATGGCTACCTTGTTAATTGTTCGAAACTCAGTTTTCGCAAAAAACCGAGTTTCGGTTTTCGTAAGTTATTTGTTAATCATAACGTATGTGAATTCACGGTGACAACTACGGCAAAGTCTGTAAACTTACCCCAAATGTTTCTAAAATCGAATAGGTATAAGATTCTTTAGTGAAGCTTATGAGTAGGCTGAAACGCTACGAAAAGCACAGGATTTGTACGGAAACCACTGACAGACTTATTTTGAATGCAATGGCACGCATATTTTGTTTCATTAATCTGCTTCCCTTGGAAGATTATATGCTTGTAGCCCTTAACTATATATGAATAGCCGTGTAACTTGTTTGTGGCAATGAAATTAAATAAAAGAACTTCCTGTACACAGAATTTTCTTCGTATCTCTATTCAATCGATTCAATAAACGACCATAAGTTGAGATGAACTGTGAAAGCAATCGGCTCACTGATGACGTTTTCAGTTTGTTAAAACTTACCACATTTCATGATTACTCCGAACAAATTACGAGTACATTACCTTAACTTCGCGTCTTGATGTGCGACTTCAAAATATCCAATTTCTGATAAGTCACAGTTCCTTTAAGAATGATGTTCTCGGTTTACATGATCGGCGGAATTATACAGACAGATATTGTTTGAGGATTGTTTGCTAAGACATCTATGTGAGGCTCATTCAAGTGGATAGAAAAATGCGTGAGCAGCCCTCATCTCGACACGAATATCTTCCATCTCATTATCATAATAATTCAATACAATATCCTAACTTGCTATATCCTTTAGTTAAGCGTTTGATCCGAGATAGAATTATATTCTTTATTAAATCTTCGCATTGACAGTACACGTATTGTTTTATTGCGTGAAATGTTCCAATGTAGACAAAAAAAGACAATAAAGCCAAGTTTATTCAACACGCGATCAGCTCAGCGTACATAACAACATGATTTGCATAAGATGCGACGTGCTCGTGCTAATGATTCACGTGTTTTAGCGATCTTAAAAGGTTGATTGGCTTTCTTTTCACTCAGTTCGTCTCTTTCATTCTTCTGTAAAGCTTGGCCATAGTTCTGAGAACTTTCTTTCGTAATTAATTCTGTTAACTGTCCGAAAACCTATGGAGTTCGTAAGTTATTGATGGTATATTTCTGTTGCTTCCTACGAGCTAACCGTTATCTGCAAATTCTGCACCTACGTAAGCCGCTTACATACAGTGACGCCATATTGCTATACGGGCGGTTTCACGTCTCACATGCCCGGCGGCTTAGGCCGATATTAGAGGGGTTAAGAACGTTTCTCACCTCATTCCATGCGTACTCCAAGTATCTTGTTGTCGAAGCATTCAGGCTTACACTGAATAAAGAGTAACTGTGTTCAGAGATCGTTTGACATGCTTGTTATCTCGTTATTAATAACCGTTAGACGTGCAGACCAAAAAAAGACAATGACAACGCAATATTTTCATGGTCAAACGCATAGCAAGATCTGCAGGAGGTTTTCCATACGTACGTCAGACTTAGGAACACCAATATTTATAATAATACCAAAGTTTCCTTTGGGAACATTTCCTTTAATTTATAATCCTGGTGATGAGGAGATTGTACCTTCCTGTTGTGGAAGACGTGACGACTAGCATACAGGAGAGGGGTAAATGGTACTTGTGAGCAGTCAGGGAAATCTGACTAAAAACGAGAGTTTCCTGCGACTAGCCACTTAGTCTCCAAGACGCAATCACCCTCGAAGACGCAATCAACCCTGAGATCCAAAACCTGATTCAATCTCCCCTCTAGCTGCAACACATTTCCTTTTCATTTAGTCATGAGAATTTGGTGTTAGATCAAGATTGGAAATTTCACCCGATGAGTTTGAGTATTCTCATTACCTGTTTACTGGATGATGCACGGACAGTAGGGGGAGAAGTTATATGTTAATCTGGGCCGTCAAAAGGCGGACCTCTCACGGACTGGAGACCATTCACGAGAAGTAACAGGTAATCGCCTGTAGAGTAAGGAAAAAAAAAAAACAGGGATAAGCTCGGAAAGTTGTGACCATTCAGTGTCTTGGACTTGACCCTCTCATGGTAGACTGGTAATGAGGAAAAAGACTGCTTCCGGGGAAGATTCTCATAATGTCATATTTAATGACGTCAATGTCTCGAATTTCTTATCTGAAACGTTTAAAACTCATCTTAAGCAATATTTTCCTTCAGAATTTTTGAGGAAATTATAGTTTTTTATGGCAAGTGTACTCAAATTTAATACCATGACACATCTGGAGGAATTGAGGGTAAATGATCTGGTCACATTTTCCAACGCAAAGCATCTACTTCAAACTTCAAAGATTAAGCATCATCGTATATGTCACGATTGAGACACTTCTAACCTAACTGGGGACGTTTTTAATCCATAATACCAGCCTTTTTATGACGAAAGTTTTGAGCGTGATTATAAGGTAAAGAACGTTTCAGATTTAACATAAGTAGCATAATTTCTAAATAACTTCACTTGCCAGCATAATCACAGTTTTGATTTCAATATTATTACTGATCACACTGTGGAGCAATGAGCTTAATTTTGTCAAGGTGAGGTGGTGGTAACCGGTCAAGTCAACCGAAAGTCATCTCGCACGAAGTCATGTCGCCTGGAACCTAAAGTCGTTTTTCAAAACTACAATCACTTTGTAAGCAAAGTGCATAATTAACAACTGTAGAGTGACGTCCGTGTTTCAGTTTTGGAATGAAATTGGTGATGTGCCTTCCCTTTGATAGACTTTAATAAAATGTAGATGCAGATGAAAGAATGAAATTCTTTGTCTTATCGAAAAACTTTAAAGCAGATTGTTGAAACAGCAATTGCTTTACGGCGCGAAGGACTGAGGCGACTCAACCCCAGTACCCTCTCGATAAGCAGCCATGTTTCTTTCTTAACCACTACGAACAAAGTATGAAGATAATGCACTTTAATTTTCGTCGTTTCTTTAGTTGTTTCTCGTTTTTTATAACTTTTATTAAGAAAATTTTATTTAGAGGCCGTCAAAGAAAATCTAGCCAGAGCGATAAGGATAGCATACCAACTTCGGTAGCTGTGAGCCGAGACCAAGTAAGTTTCATTTAATCTAGTTGTATGATCTAAGCAATGTTTTAAACTTGTGTAGGTGAAAGCAGAAGGAATCAAGTGGTCGGGTTTTGTTTCTGGATATTGCTATAAACACAAGTGAAATCATCAAAACAACCAAAAACATCCAGCACTTTAAGGGATTCGATCTCGTGACGTCGACGATGCAGATTCTCGTACAAGGCTAAGTTGCATTGATCGATTCAAGCATAAATTTGATTTAGCCACATCATTTGTGATGATATTAAGAGATAATTATGATTATTTTTTTTTATGGAAAAGTCCCAGGTAAATATAAATTACATCAGTCGTTGAGCGATATTTCATGGTGGTGTTTATAAATAAATCTCAGAAATTACTTTTGAACCATTTTACTATCAGTAGTGATCAAAACATAATTTCTTCTTACAATATCAATATACCTTTAAGCAGTGAGGTGACGAGAAGAAAGGAAAATGTCAACCACAGCATATTTTCTAATATAACACCAAATTTCAAGGGCTGAAAGTAAGAAAACAACCTGTGTAGGCAGTTACTGGTAATAAGATATTGGGAACCAAAAGGTTAATGTCAAGCAGAGGTGGGGGATGTTGTGTAAATCAAGTTGCTTTTGGCCAGGATTTTCCTGTAAATTGTGATTATTTTTTTCAATGTGTATTAAAATTAACAGGCTTTAGAGGGTGAGGGGGAATGGGAGGAATGGGATCAAATGGAAGAGTTCAGCGTGAAAGTTGAACCAGCGTGTGGTCCACAACAGCCTTCTGCTGAGGAGGATCTCTTCCATGACATGACTCCTGTCTTTCAAAAACCAAAGAAGGTAAGGTGCAATACATATATCTTATTAACCAAGCATGTGGGCTGTACTGGGAGAATATCGGCCCGAGGTCTTGACATTGTACAAAAAACACCAAGGGCCAATATTCTTTCAGTACGGTCCCGAGCAGGCTTGGTTAATAAGAGATTTATTATACGACTTAAGTTCTAAGGGACACAAGTGCGGTATCATTCGGGACCATTTGGGACAGTGCCTGGTCCAATACTGAGAGAATATTGACCGGCAGTAGAGCATTTTGATTGGTTGATTTTAGTTATTGGCCCTCTGACTGCCCGAGTCGTGTAGTAAAATATGAAATTATCTCATGGCACCTTGCAGAAATGCTGTAGAAAAGCTGTCTATTTTTATGTTTAAACAGATTGTTGTTAAGAAGAATAAAGGTTACCCTGATGGTGGTTATAATACACGCACAGAGACTTCACCAAGTCGTTTAAACTTTGACATGAATTACACCCCTGTAGAGGTAAGCCATATAAGTGAGACATTCACAGTGATGCAAAGAACCATATATAATCTTATCTGTACTTGCTTTTGCTATGGATAGCGTTGTATACATTGTATATGTAGTGACATTCAGCAGGCTTGGCACAAAAATCACATTGTGAATGACAAACTGTGAAGGATCCATACATGAAAACCTTGCCCAATTTTCTAACACTGTTTTAATTATTTAAAGCCTGAGCTGGGTACTTGGAATGATGATTCAACTTCAGTATGGGATGAGGAAGCTGTTTCAGAAAAAGACATTGAGTGGGAAACAGAAAAATTAGTGAAAGAAAGAAAACAGGCAGAGAGAGAACGACGTGCTATGGAACAACAAAGAAGGAGAGAAGAAAGGGAAGCACTGAAGCACATGGACAAAAAAACGCAAGGACATCTTGGAGTCAGACTATCTACGTAACATTGTAACAAACACATGCAGGATTCTTCTCTCTGGGCCTTCAGAATTAGTGTAATAATTGTCACTGTCAAAGGGTTATCAGTATTAAAATTCTCCTTACAATTTAAATATACAATCAAGTAAAACAGTTGTGAGAGTTTGGAAAGTAAGAAGAATATGGTCTCGAATTAATATCAAGTTATCGGTGACAGCCACCAAAATAAGTTCATGGCTTTCATTGGGACAGTTTTTGTTTTTTTTTTAGTGAAAAGGATGAAATAGCTGCACATGTTTTGAGTTAGTCTCTACTGATGACATTCAAGTAGAGTTTTAAAGAAGTATTGTTACAGAGAAGAGGATAGGGTTTAAGGCTTTAATTAGATTGCAAAAAGGCAGATTGTAGAAGGAATTTCTGGGCTTGTTTGCTGTGGTCAGATCTGTAAGTGACCCTGCAAAAATGTTAGTTACATGGAAAGGAGTATTGTTTGATATTTGTGTCCAGTTATTTGGGTGTGAACTGTCCAACAGTAGGATGAAGGCCAATATTAGTGCTTTTAATGGGACAAATTTCCATCTTTGCATATGTATCTTGAAGAAGGTAGGGTTTGAGGGCTAACTAGATAGCAGAATTTATGAAAACAGGTTTTAAGAATAAACAATTGATGGAAGACTTGGCCAGTTGGCATTATATATGCAATAGTCATCACATCATAGCAGCTGACGATTATTAACTGTTGAACCCCAAAGTGTGACTTGCATCTAAATTCTCCCGACAACAGCACCCCTAAATCAAACATCAACGTCATTTGAATAAATGAAATGATTGCCAACTAAGGAAACTCTTGATTGGTAGATCAATAAGAAAAACAGAAATAGAGTTTTCCTTTTATGTCAGAATGTTAGGGGTTAACCTTGTTGATTTTGTTTGCTCTCCAGTGTCCAAAAAAATCAGCCCCATTATCACTTCGAATTTGCACGTTAAAAAGAAAGAAAATTTGGTGTTTTGTTTCCCCAGGAATGAAAAAAAATATATATATACATAAAAGTGTAAAATTTGACTTCCGTGAAACAGTGCTCAATAGCAGAGCGGTGTAAGTATTGTGGGAGGAAAAAGACAAATAAACTACAAGTTCATCCCTACAAGCCTGTTTCATGGTTGCCCACTCAGCAGGGGTTGACCACTCAATCCCTGCTGAGTGGGCAACCACGAAACAGGCTTGTAGGGATGAACTTGTAGTTTATTTGTCTTTTTCCTCCCACAATANAAATGAACGATCCCTTAGAATGCTGCAGTTGCGTTTTATTGTGTTGTCCGTTTTGACAGTTCAAATTTATAGCACTTTACACCTTTCAGTAAACTTCTTATTCTCTACACTGTTACCTTTACATTTCCTATGGTACTGACAAGGTGATTTTCTTTGACAATCAGAAGCTTATTGGATTGGTGATCATTTCCGTTCTACATGCACCCATATGACCCCTTTATAATTGACTGCGGGGTACCGTAAGGATAAATAAGAAGCCAGTGACTCTGAGGGGATAAAGTGTTAGAGACCCTGTCCACATAGTTGATTGTCGACGGTGATGTTTATAAAATGTATTAGGGAAACACAAATAAAGAATTTGCTGAAATTGTCTTGTTTCTTAGTAGTTCCAAATAGTGTAATTGTGGTAAACTACTTCATTTTTTATAGCTAGAAAGTGCATATATGTGTGTATACATGTGTGTGTATATATATGTATACACAGAAATATGAACACACATATACACACATATGTAGAAAGTTTAAAAAATTGCGAGGATGGACAACTTCTGACGTAAAAAATATAAAAAATTTTAATAAAAAACGTTTCGGTCAGAGACCTTCAGTTATTTACCGTTTTTTATTAAAATTTTTTATATTTTTTTACGTAAGAAGTTGTCCATCCTCGCAATTTTTTAAACTTTCTACGTTCATGTTGGCTGTGAGGCTCGGACTGCAAATCTTTATTGATCCTCCTGGCACAGTGCACCTTTGTTGGCCTGAGAGTTCCATTAACGACTATATACACACATATATATTATACATATATATATATATATATATATATGTATAATATATATGTGTGTATATAGTCGTTAATGGAACTCTCAGGCCAACAAAGGTGCACTGTGCCAGGAGGATCAATAAAGATTTGCAGTCCGAGCCTCACAGCCAACATGAACGTAGAAAGTTTAAAAAATTGCGAGGATGGACAACTTCTTACGTAAAAAAATATAAAAAATTTTAATAAAAAACGGTAAATAACTGAAGGTCTCTGACCGAAACGTTTTTTATTAAAATTTTTTATATTTTTTACGTCAGAAGTTGTCCATCCTCGCAATTTTTTAAACTTTCTACATATGTGTGTATATATATTTATATGTGTGTATATGTGTGTTCATATTTCTGTGTATACATATATATACACACACATGTATACACACATATATGCACTTTCTAGCTATAAAAAATGAAGTAGTTTACAACAATTACACTATTTGGAACTACTAAGAAACAAGACAATTTCAGCAAATTCTTTATTTGTGTTTCCCTAATACATTTTATAAACATCACCGTCGACAATCAACTATGTGGACAGGGTCTCTAACACTTTATCCCCTCAGAGTCACTGGCTTCTTATTTATCCTTACGGTACCCCGCAGTCAATTATAAAGGGGTCATATGGGTGCATGTAGAACGGAAATGATCACCAATCCAATAAGCTTCTGATTGTCAAAGAAAATCACCTTGTCAGTACCATAGGAAATGTAAAGGTAACAGTGTAGAGAATAAGAAGTTTACTGAAAGGTGTAAAGTGCTATAAATTTGAACTGTCAAAACGGACAACACAATAAAACGCAACTGCAGCATTCTAAGGGATCGTTCATTTCATGTTTCTCCCAAGACAGATTTTTTTTGAGATGGAGATTTCTGTCCATTCTCTTCTGTTTATTGCAGCACTGGTCAGGACTCGTCAGATATCTCTTACACAAATCCAAACGTTTTGGTCTTGATGGCCAGTAGAAGTTTGCTCTTAAGAATAGCACGCGAAGAGTACAGTGGAATGTACAGCCGAGAGATGCACGTGTTGGCAGTGGGAAGTTGATGATCATGTGCCGGTTTGACTGTCACTGATGGTTTAGGTTGGAAACCTTCCTCACTTGCAGGAAGAGCTGGGCTTGATGTCCAGAAATAAACCTTAAAATAAAGTGCTCTGTGTCAGAAGCTACTCAAGCCAAAGGATCAACTGTAAACTTAAAGTGTTAACTATGGAATACAGGTATTTTTAGCTACTGGTTTTAATAAATATATATGTCTTCACCTATACTAAATTCAAAGCAAATTATAAAACAACGTCCTAAGGCTACTTTTCCGTTTTGCGTGTTTTAAACTTGGCTACAGTTATTAATTCCGATGAAGGCTACAGTTATTAGCTCCGACGAAGGGCTAACGCTCGAAACGTCAGCTTTTGTAATCGTTACGGTGGCCAATTTACCATTTCAACTTTGTTCATATATCCAAATTATTTCGTTACTCCCACCGACGCAGCCCCAAACAGTTTCTTTCGAAATTATCAGCCTTTATATAGTTATTAATAACTCTGGTTAAACGCTTTCATTTACAAACAGCCGTTAATTACCATTGTAATAAACGTTTTAAACAAGTTTTCAACGAACATCTACAAATTTCCATTTCCGCGATCACATGGTCACGGTTGCTATTTTCAGTAACATATCCCCACGACATTTCCACCAT